CTGTTAAAATGAGTAATTAGGCCACAACATGCTGTTACTTGCATTTTGCTTTTGCTAACATCATTGTGTATTCGTCGTGCATACGATGCATGTAGGTCGCCCTTTGTCCGTACTGCGAATTCATGGAAAAATATGGTTTTGATGAGATTCCCTGATCCATTTACACATAGGTGGTTCTTTCATGTTTGACAGACTTGCTGTTTGCACTGATCATAACAGGCAGCTTGAGGCACAATGTTCAATGTTATAATTTTCGTTTATTCGCATCTGCGTTTGCATCAGACCTTTTATATCTGACATTTGAATACGGTTGCTTTCGCAGTAGGCTTGCATAAAACGTAATATTACACTGCCGACGTCGATTTCAAGCACTGAGTTGCACATCTGTGAAATTTAATGATGCCTTGTGACATGTGTTTAGTTGATTGTATCGCGATGCGTGCCCCCAGCACTGATGTGTATACACACCCTATACACGCATGCGAGCGTGAACATAGCGGTTTGTGTCATGCATGCCTGCGCGCTGGGGGTATATTGCATGCGTATTATTCATTATAATGTAGAATAGCAATGAGAAAAAAATACATAAAAATGCGTTAATTTCTGCTATCGTGTGATGTAGTTAGTTATCTATCAGAGCAAACCTTTTGGTTTCACAAACACCGGTATCCACCCATTCGCGTAAGGAGATCTGTTACGACTTGTGACCTTTGACCGAGTTCTATGATCCTCGCCCGTCGATTTTTGGGTGTGTTGGTGTTGGCATAGCTTGTTGATACAGAGTGTGTAGCCGAGTTGTTTGTTTAGAGTTGTAACTTGCACTCTAACGGTATAACGGCTATGATATTGGGCTAACCTTGTAGTAGCGAAACCGGGGGAACCGAATATTAATTGCGAGCCTTGCTGTACGCACACAATGCGTTCATGTCCTATAATGGTTGCCTGTGGAGCCCACTGATGCAGCGTATCAGTGCAGTGCAGTGTCATATACGGCAGTCTTTATTTGGTGGAAGGGGTTATTTACTCGTGACGGAATTCCAGTCTCAATAGCGCAGACGTACCTTAGGCACCCACACCCACACCCGTACATATGTGCTGGCAGGCCGTTGGGCACACTCACGCCTGCGCACGCACACGCACGTACATGCTTGTATACAGCGTAAATAAAACAGACACTTCAACAGACACCGCCTCACGTACATGTATACTATGTACGAAACACGCGAGCGTTGGCGCGGCGGCGCTGAAACATACATTACACGAACGTCTACATACTCGCACACAAACATCGCTTGTTTGTTTCGCGCTTTGATGACTGGCTGGCCAGATCAAATGTCTTACTGTAAACATGTTGTAACTGCCAGTCGCATTGTGTCACGACTCACAACAAACGATGGGGGAAAAAGTGCAACTGATGGAAAGGCTGTCGTGCAGTTCCGCGTGTTATCCGTAGCCGCGCTAGCTGCGGCCGTCCTCGTAAGCTAGCTCCGTATTCCATAAACACGTCAATTTATAACGGCAATTATGTTACACATTTACGTCACACGCGCAGTTCGCAGCAGCGGTTCACGCGTTTCGTCCGTGTAACGTACGTGGTCCGCCCCCACGTTACCAGCGCGTGATGCGTGTAAACTGCGTGTTAAGTGTGTGTTATGACTGTTATCTCATCTCATGTGAGGAAAGATTGTGTATTGCTGTCCGATGTGGTGCAGAGAATATTTCAATGAGTCACCCACTGTTGTTGTTTTAACTACAGTTCATGGAAGTCGTTCGAAAATCCAATGTTCTCTTTTTAGTGCATGGTCTACTGCATGCTGTCAATGCAAGGTTTAGTGACCCAGAATTGTAAATTCATATCAACCTGATCTAAAATCTCTCATCAAGATATCACTGTATGTGTTCTGGTATTATGACTCCGTCCATCTGACCCTCTGAGGCTTTTATGTGAGGAAACCAATTTTATCAATTTACCTTATTATATTTTAATTCTTGAAAATAATTGGTTACACGACATCGCCTACTGCACGGTGAGCTCGTGGCTTATTTCACTTTCTAATTAGTTCTATTCACTGAAGCTGGATAAAGTGGTAGCTATGGAGACGTATGTAACCAGACAGCCATGCATGCATACAGCGCTTACTGGCCGTCGTAAGCCAATTCTTATTTCTGATAGAATATAGTCACGGTCCCTCACCAATAAAACTGTTCAACAATTGGTGTGAGTGCACGCTATTACAACTATTTTTGACGGGGGGAGGGGAACAATTTCGTGCCCACTTGCGCGTGTACATGCTGCGTGCGTGTGCCTGCTCTCCCCGGGTGTCATGGTTCACAAGAGTGTACCAGGACGTGGGAGAAAACCCGCGACGACACCAACGGAACGTGTAGGGGGGTAGGCTGCTATACTGCCACCGGCGCATTTAGCACGCAGGGAGTTGTGTAGTGCGATGGCATACAGATGAGTGTAGGCAGTTAAGGGCAGGATGCTGTGTGGGTGGTGGCACACTCCTCCCTATTATGCTGTTTCGCGTAAGGACTGCCGTCGCAATTATTTTTCGTCGCGGACAGCTACGTCACAGTATCGATTGAAATTCTTAGTCTTGTAAGCGGGATTGCTGCAGCACTCGTCGCTGATCGAGCCGTTTGTCGCACATCTAAATCACGGCGAGAGAAAGGCGCGGGAACTTCCACTTGTGCGTGGCCTGACACGCAGAGAGAGAGAGAGAGAGAGAGAGAGAGAGAGAAGAGAGAGAGAGAGAGAGAGAGAGAGAGAGAGAGAGAGAGAGAGAGAGAGAGAGAGAGAGAGAGAGAGAGAGAGAGAGAGAGAGAGAGAGAGAGAGAGAGAGAGAGAGAGAGAGAGAG